ATATTTTGTAAAAAAATTTAGGAAAAAAAGCTGTGGCGTGTTTCACACAACAGGCAAACTGGGCAGGAAACAAATCATACTAACGAATTTTGAATCACATTAAATAAGATCTGGTGTCATTATTTAATTCATACTATATAATATTTTGTACTATTCAATTTCATACTAAATGAGACTTTGCTGTATAGTACAAAGTTTTAAAAAGGGAAAACATTTACAGCCTATCCTCGCTTAACGACCGAGTTCCGTTCCTAAGACCACGTCGTTAAACAAATTCGTCACTAAGTGAGAAGCATACTACACTGGTAGTTGGTTTGTGTCAACCAATGTTTCATATTGTTTTAATGTCACCTTTGCACCATCTATAACATTTCTGGTATATCTTTAAATATTTATACAGCAGTGTACTGTATATTGAAATAAACAGAATGGAAGAATCAGATCTATTACATTATTTGGGTATAAAGAAGACGACGAGGGAAGGGGGAAGAGGAGGAATCGAAGAAAGAATGAAGAAGACGAAGAAGACGAAGAAGACGAAGACGAAGAAGACGAAGAAGACAAAGGCGAAGAAGGTGAAGAAGACTAAGACGAAGAAGGCGAAGACTAAGATGAAGAAGGCGAAGACGAAGAAGACGACGACGAAGACACTAGGTGTTACTGAAATATAAATGTTGAAAAGGGAAAACTATCAATGGGGAAAAGAATAATTATCATTAAAATAAAACCCACACTTGGGAGAGGAAACTGCAGACAACTGTTTGATCCATTCTGGACTATTGTCAAGTACAATGAGTGAGAAAATAGGAAGCACACATTTTACTACCAGCAGTTTTAATAGATTTTTTTTTAACATGTTGGCTGTTTCTCGCCGAGGCAGGGTGCCCCAAAAAAGAAAGAAAATCTGTATATTGAAATAAACAGAATGGAAGAAATTTCAGATCTATATACATTATTCTGGGTATGAAGAGGAAGAAGAGGAAGAGGAAGAGGAAAGGAAGAGGAAGAGGAGGAAGACGAAGACAAAGACGAAGACGAAGAGACGAAGACGAAGACGAGGACGAAGACGAAGACGACCCCAAAGAAGACGACGAAGAAGACAAAGGCGAAGAAGGTGAAGAAGACTAGACGAAGAAGGCGAAGACTAAGATGAAGAAGGCGAAGACGAAGAAGACGACAAAGACACTGGGTGTTATGAATATAAATGTTGACAAGGAAATATCAATGGGGAAAAGAATAATTATCATTACAATAAAACCCACACTTGGGAGAGGAAACTGCAGACAACTGTTTGATCCATTCTGGACTATTGTCAAGTCACAACTGAGTGAGAAAATAGGAAGCACACATTTTACTACCAGCAGTTTTAATAGATTTTTTTTTAACATGTTGGCTGTTTCTCGCCGAGGCAGGGTGACCCAAAAAGAAAGAAAATCTAAAAACTAAAGAAAAAACTTTCATCATCATTCAACACTTTCACCATCATTCATACATAATCACTGTCTTTGCAGAGGCGCTCAGATATGACAGTTTAGACATCCCTCCAACTGCCAATATCCTAAATCCCTCCTTTTAAGTGCAGGCATGAATTACCCACTTTTAAGTGTGGGGATAATTAAAAGAATACTTTTAGCACAGTGGTATCAAAATATGAAGATGAAGACTGCAGATTAAATGACAAGAGTGGTGGAATATGAGACTGATGCAAAGCTGGAGGATCTTACTTCACTGATTATCTGTTATATTAGCTTAGAATACTCACTTCACAATATTAGAGACATCCTCAACTGTTAAATGCTCCTTATTAGAACTTCCTGATGCTACTGAAGCAATGAGGACTTTCAATTCTTCACTATTTATTACTTTACTAACAACCTCTGCAACTGATGCACCCTTAAAATGCATGTCCTTCACATCTGTTGTGTCTGCTGATGACTGCAGTGATATTCCTGCATTGAGGAATTCTTTGCTTGTTGTATGAGATGACTGAAAGAATGGCAATACAAGCTGCAACAGAAGAGATCAAAATTTTAATGCAATTCATAAACATATGCAATGTTTAATCCATTCACTATATGAATGAACTGCCTTAAGATAAAAAAAAAAATTCTTTATCTCATTCAATGATAATTAAAATTTATGTACCATATACTCACCCCTTTTACATTACTGATAGCCGTAGACGATGTTTCAACTGCTAGCGATGACACTGTGGCTGCAGTGGATGTTATGAAGCCAATGGTGCCAATTATGGTATAGATCAGTAAAGTCCAGAGTCCAGATGCCAGGTACCACACCAGAGAGCAGAGAGAGCTCAGGAGCCAAAGGATGAATGATGTAGCAATTGTAAGGACTTCAGAAACACTTAACACAAGCCAGAGCCATCCAGTCCAGAGCCAGTTTCCCGATGTCTCTACTACTTCTGTAAGGCTGACATACATATTTGACATCCATGCCATCGGAGAGAAACTCGAGGCCAAAGAATGGATATTCCATGATAGACTTTCTTCATTCAAAGAGTTCAAATCTTCAGAAGTTGGACTGGTGCCAATAATGGACATGAAGAGACCAGATACAAAGGATACAAATGAAGAAAAGAAACTCAAGACTGCTAAGGTTAGGTACTGAATGTATTCCAATATTACATACAGAAAATGCAAAATGTATGATAAGCAAATTTGTACAGCAGACCCAAGCAATGAAAACATGCCCATAATTAAGCCCCACAATGATGAGAGACTTGTGTACCAAGCAGATGCCAACCAAGAACTTATGTCTACTACAGATTTGTGAACAAAAGCAAAGCCATGGGAAATGCCTGAGAACATCCAGAATGCGAGATCAGATGCAGAGGTCAAAATTAAATTCAAGAAAAAAGGTCCATCAGTTTTTGTGGGGTCAGAAGCATCACCTGTCTTGGCACGAGACTGCAACAGCCACCAGTAAGCTGTTAGTAGAGAAAAATTTAAATTAGCTTGTCATTCTTCTGATAACATGAATTAAAGATTTATAACAAAAAACGGCACAGTACCGTGACTGGAATGATACACAAATAACCCGCACATAGAAGAGAGGAGCTTACGACGACGTTTCGGTCCGACTTGGACCATTTACCAAGTCACACTAACAAAAAGGAGTGCAGGAAGGGTATATATACGCAGGAGGTGGTAGGAGTAGTAGAGGTGGAAGGAAGTAGTAGAGGGGAGGTAGTAAGAGGAGGAGCCAGTCAAAAACTAAGAAAGAGGAGCAATGCAAGGGAGCTAGGTGCCCACAGAGGGTAAGAGCAAGAACACCGAGAGGGGGAAAAATAAATAAATAAATAATTAAAGAAGGAACAAATACACAGGGCAGAAGAAAGACAACCTAAAGGATAAAAAGGAAAGAGGAAAGGGGAAGAGGAAGAAGAAAAAGACAGAATCAGGTTAGGTTACGGGTGTTCTGAAGTTTGGAGCATTTTACAATGTAGTGGGAAAGGAAGGCATCTACAAAGACGAAGCCAGGACAAAGATTCATACAAGAAAAGTTGTGTACGTATTAGGGAGAATTCAACCAGACAGCGACTGTTGACGTTGGAAGTAGGGAAGACAGTTTTAGCAGAAGACCAGTCAATAGGATGACTCTGATCTCTGATGTGACAGAAAAGAGCATTTTCAGTGTTGGCCAGCCTAACACTACCTTCGTGCTCCCTAAGTCTGTCAGAAAGAGATCGGCCAGTTTCTCCAAAGTATTGAAGAGGACAGGAGGAACAAGAAATAGAGTAGACACCAGAAGCATCTGTAGAAAGAAAAGTATGAACGAGATTAGTGTGAAGAGTGTTAGTCTGGCTGAAAGTAAGTTTGATATCTAAGGACTGGAGAGAGTTGTTGAGATTAGAAAGACCAGAAATGTAGGGAAGGCAGAAGAGTTCCCAGGAAGAGAAGAAATTACATTTAGCACGTGAGAAGGCAGAGTCTATGAAATGGGAAGGGTAGCCAAGACAGGAAAGCGAGTTATGAAGAGTGGAAATTTCTGATTAAAGGAGCTGAGGATCACAAATGCAGAGAGCACAGAGAAAGAGGGAGATAAGAACACTTTTCTTGACATAGGAAGCATGATAAGAAAAGTAGTGAATGTACATGCCACTGTGCATAGGTTTCGGTAAACGAAAAAGGCAAAACCTGTATCTGAGCAGTGGACGTGAACATCAAGGAAAGAAAACAAGGAATTAAATTCCCATTCAGCTTTAAATTTAATGGAAGGGGCAAGATTATTAAGAGCATCAAGAAATGGTTGATAGAGACAGGAGTCATGATGCCACAGAGCAAAGATGTCATCTACATAGCAGAGCCAGAGTGAAGGGCACACATCGATAGTAGGAAGAAGAAAAGTCTTGAAGTATTCCATGTAAAGATTAGCAAGGACAGGAGAGAGAGGAGAGCCCATAGCGACACCGAAGGTTTGAGAAAAACAACGTCGTAAGCTCCTCTCTTCTATGTGTGGGTTATTTGTGAATTAAAGATTTGTTTTTCACAGACAATCAATCAACATGAATTGCAACTTAAGGATTGCTTGGTAAATATATTTTTTTAAAGAACTATTAAATTTTTTTATGCCTACTATATAAATTGTTAAATAATGAAGCACAGTACAATAGTAAGGTGGTTAAAATAACCCCTCCTCCCCCCCCAAAAAAAATTGTCACTACAACCCAATACAAAACAGCAAACAAATCATGTTATCAGGTGAATGTCTAATTAGCATTTTAGAAAGTCATACTATGCCTTACGTAGATTTACTAGAACTATAACCTTATTTTTCCAATAAAAAATTTAAAATGTGCAGATTATAATGAACTTAAAATTGCACAATGCAAGAATTCGTGATTTAATACAAGTCTAATAATACATGCAACATTTGCCTCATGCATTATATAAAACTAATAAAATTACTGTGATTTTTTCTTTATTGAGTTAATTATTTACTCCCTTTACAGACAAACTGTACTAAAAAAGTACAAGAAGTATTATTCAAATGCAAAGTAGGATGAAGCATTTAGTTGTATAGAAAATATCAATTAACAATCAACCGTTGAACAAGTCTGATTATTTGACAACCTGCTCTAACCAGCAGAAAACGAACAATACAAATACAGTTGGAAGAAGGGGAAAAAAAAGGAGGGAGGGGGCTAAAAAAAACAAAAAAAAAAAAGAAAAAGAAAAAGAGAGGGGGTTAATAGATGTATTTCTTAAACAAATAAAGCATTGCTGTCAGCTTCCGAGATACTGAGTGACAAGTGCTTGTCATGTTGGGCGTGGGGGTTGTAGTAGCCTGAAAACAATAAATTGCATCTGATTTTTAAGAGAGAGAATTCCCAACTAACATAATTAACAAAGCTTAAAATAACTAACTTCAGGTTTAAAAGCTTCATAAAGAAATAAACAAAAGTGTCATTGATTCATTCATATATTGCATAGTAATAACAAACTATTACATTTACTAGAAAATCCAGAGATCATTGTTCCCACTGCCTGGTCACACACCAAGCATATTAAAAAGTAAAGTAAACATTACGATACAAGACTTTCACTATAGAGTAGAAGCCCTATTTTACGGTGTTTCGCCTTACTGTGCTCCACTAATACGGATATTTCAAAATATGGCCAAAACTTGCTAAGCTCCCCCAACATGACTTTCTAATATGGTCACCACGCCCCTACTGGTTTGTTTACATTCTACATGAGCTCCATGAGCACCACATCTCTCCATTATGCCCAGAAACTTTCCAAAATTTCAAGTGTTTTAAAGTTATTTCACATTTTATATATTATTTTTTTTTTTTTTAACATCACAC